GAGGGAAACAATTAATAAATGGGAACTCCTGAAACTAAAAAGCTTCTGTAAATCAAAGGACATGGTCAACAAGACAAAATGGCATCCTACAGAATGGGAAAAGATCTTCACCAACCCCACATCAGACAGAGGGCTGATCTCCAAAATACATAAAGAACTCAAGAAATTGGTAGTCAAAATAATCAAAAAAAAAAGTGGAGTACAGACCTAAACTCTCAACAGAGGAATCTAAAATGGCTGAAAGCCACTTAAGGAAATTTAACATCTATATCCTTAGTCAATAGAGAAATGCAAATCAAAATAACTCCAAGATTCCATCTTCCACCTGTAAGAATGTCCAAGATCAAAAACACTGATGACAACTTATGCTGGAGAGGTTGTGGGGTAAAGGGAACACTCCTGCCTTGCTGGCGGGAGGGCAAGCTGGTACAGCCCCTTTGGATATCAGTGAGGTGATTTCTCAGAAAATTAGGAAACAACCTTCCTCAAAACCCAATTAAACCACTTTGGATATATACCCAAAAGATGTTAAACTGTGCCACAAGGACATGTGCTCAACTATGTTCATAACAGCATTGTTGTCATAGCCAGAACCTGGAAATGATCGAAATGCCCCTCAACTGAAGAACTAATAAGGAAAATGGAGTACTACACATCAGAAAAAAATATCTTGAAATTTTCAGGCAAATGGAGCTATAAAACATGGTTTTGAATTAGATAATCCAGACCCAGAAAGACAATTATCATATGTACTCACTCCTAAGTGACTTTTAGACATAAAGCAAAGATAACCAGCCCACAAATCACAATCCCAGAACCTAGACAACAATGAGGGCCCTAAGAGAGACATACATGGATCTAGCCTACATGAAAAGTAGAAAAAGATAAGATCTCCTGAGTAAATTGGGAGCATGGGGACCTTGGGAGAGGGTTAAAGGGGAGGGTTTGGGCTGGGAGGGGAGCAGAGAAAAATGTAAAGCTCAATAAAAATCAATAAATGCATGTATTGGCTAGTGAAAGCATAAGATCCAATGTTAACTTGCACAGCTTTGGAGTGTCTGTCTCAACTCCATAGGCGTTTGCTAAAATGCATACTTTGGGTCTGAATAATTTTAACGTGATTTTTTTTCTTCTTTGCAGTTCCTTTACAAAAAAGTTTTAATTTAAAAAATTTTTTTAAAAAAGAGAAGCATAATGTGCTAATTAATATCTCCCAAGGACGCCTCATTGACTGGAGTCTTTATGGCTCCCCTCAAGGAAAATATTCTGAGTTAAGATGACAGCGGTATAGTTTGGATGGAACTTTAGGAATTAGTTTTTCCACTAATGAACCTATCTGAAGGCATGGAGTTGGAATGTCTAGTCCTCTCCTGCAATCTGCCAATTAGATTCAGACTAACTTGTGGAAACTGGCAAGTGCCTTCCACCCTCTTAAGGTACGGGAAGGAAAATTAAACATTAAAATGATAAATAAACTTTTGTCTTTTAGACAAATCAAAGCCAGCGTTTGATGGCATGTGTACCATTACCCCACATGCTAATGAAGGGGCTTGTCCAATAGCACCCAAATAATTACAGCATCACTTGTGAATGCTGTGTCCTTCATACCTGTGTTAATTCTAGTATGTCCTTAAACTTAACCTCTGAAAATGTATACATTCTTAGAGCAAGGTCAGCAATCTGGATATTGGTGAAGTTGCCGAGGCCATGGCAAGACTTACTTACCTATGATGATCCTGGTACAGAAGCTCACTGAGGGAATATTAAAAAGAACGTGTTGAATGGTTGAACTGGTTATGGAAGTTATTATGGGAATATTGCATTAACTGCTGCTACTGCAACAGCTAGAGTGGTGTTTCATGAAGAAATGCAAGCTGCTGAGTTCTTCAGAGACTGGCATGAGCATTCTCCAGAACTTTGGACTCAGCAAAATAAAATAGTGAGATAATCAGTGAAACAGAGATTTGAGACAAGCTGTTATACTGTTGGGAGATCAGTTAGAAATATTAAAGGAGTAGGTAAAATTAAATGTGATTGGGATGCAACGTCCTATTGTATTACACTTTAAAATCCAATAATAGCAAGTATGACTGCAGAAAGGTTATATGCACTTGATGGGTCACTCTAATTCTTCTCAAGTGCTTTATGATTTACAGCAAGACATTAAGACTTTTACAAAAAGGTCACCTGATACAACAGGATTGGATACTACGGAAAGCCTTGCAGACACCATAGCCTCGTTTAACCTTGTGAACCACTTTACTGGATTTCTTGTTTTAGGAAGTGTTATTCTTGTTCTAGCAATGTAACCTTATTGGCTTTAAACTGTTTGGGCTTACTTGCATAAGACTATAAAACAGATAGAGAAAAGGATGCATAATTTCCAATATAATTAATTGTCGCATATACAAAAGGGGGATATGTTAGGGGAGTTCCTCACTTCCACTCCTGGCTTGATTCTGGAGTCTTGGCACCTAGCCTTAACTGTTACTTTTGTCTCCAGTACCTTCTGTTTGAAGTATCTAAATCTTATATGAGTTTCCTAAAGGTTGAAAGTCTATGCAAAACCTGGTTGCAGGAGGCAAGATGTCTCTTAACAGAAAATTTGCATTGGCATTGTCAAGACGTTTTGGTATATGGAAACTGATGTGCTGAAGGTGTGAACTGTGTAACAATACAAAGGCCCTTTGTGGACTGTGGAAATGGCTCAGTGGTTAAGAGCACTGCCTACTCCTTTGGAGGTCCCGAGTTCAATTCCCAGCAACCACATGGTGGCTCACAATCACCTATAATGGGATCTGATGCCCTCTTCTGTCATGCTGGCATACATGCAAATAGAGCACTCATATGCAGAAAGAAATAGTTTTTTAAAAGGCCCTTTGCAACATGTTATTTTTTACTCTAGCCCCACATTGGAAGGCCAAAATGTTGTTGGTGTTTTCTTTTTTTTTTTAATTACTCTTTAGTTCTTTTGGGGGCCCACCACCCAGCTCCTTAAAAAAAATCACACACAAAGAGACTTATTCTTACTTATGAATGGCTGGCCTTAGCTTGGCTTGTTTCTTGCCAGCTTTTCTTAACTTCAATTATCCCTGACTACCTTTTGTCTCTGAGATTTCACCTTATTTCTGTATACCTCACTTTCACTCTAACGGCCTGGCTGGCCGGGTGGCTGGGCCCTGATGTCCTGCTCTTTGTTCGATCTGGCTCCTCCTCCCCTCCTCCAGATTTCTCCTTCTATATATTCTCTCTGCCTGCCAGCCCTGCCTATCCTTTCTCCTGCTTTGCTATTGTCCGTTCAAGTTCTTTATTAGACCATCAGGTTTTTTACACAGGTAAAGAATCACAGCTTCACAGAGTTAAACAAATGCAACATAAACAAAAGCAACACATCTTTACATCATTAAACAAATATTCTACAAAAAGCAACACAGCTTAAAACAGTATTCTACAACATCAAAGTGGCAGTGAGTCAGCCGGCCATAGGCTGGGCCCTGCAGCTGACAAGGCTAAATTCATCCTTAGAGTACCTCTGTGTCTTCTCCTCACGGATCCGCGTGAACCCACACTGATACAACAGGGAGGTTCAGAATAAAGGTGCCCAGTGCAACTACTCCATCAGAATCAGTACACACTATATTTGCCAGCCGGGACAACTGGTGACATTTAAATAAGCTATTTTGGCTGTACAGTGTTGTATATCAATATCCGACTTGGTCGAATATTATATTACAGCTGCTTAAGGAAAACACACTTGAGTATCTGAAGAGATGAGACATCTGAACAGTTGCATACGTAGGTGGCAGTGTTTGAGTGTGCACAAATTCATGTATCGGGAGAACGATGACTAGGCAATTTAACAACTGGCAAATCTGGGTGAAGGGTATAAATTTGTATATGATTTTTATAGTTTTTCTAAAAGTTCTAGATTTCAAAAAGTTTAAGGCACACGATTAAAATCTCACTAGAGATAACTAAGCCCATACATCTGTACCTTTTAAAAATGATTCAACTTTAAATTGAAGCCGGGCGATGGTGGCGCACGCCTTTAATCCCAGCACTCGGGAGGCAGAGGCAGGCGGATCTCTGTGAGTTCGAGACCATCCTGGTCTACAGAGCTAGTTCCAGGACAGGAACCAAAGCCACAAAGAAACCCTGTCTCGAAAAACCAAAAGAAAAAAAAACTTTAACTTTAAATTGAGCATGCACACGTATGTGCAAATGTGCTTGAGGCCGGAAGCATTGAACCCTCTAGAGCCGGAGCTACACAGTTGGTTGTGAGCCACCAGAAGTGGGGGCAGGTAGCAATACTTGGGTCCGCGGAAACAGGAGCACATACTCTTACTGCTGGACTGTCTCTCCAGCCCACCATCTGTATTTTGTGTGTGTGGTGTAGGTTATGTTCTGCATACATGAACAGGTATGTCTGCCCATGTGCATGTGTCTAGAGGATGATTTAGGTGTCTTGCTCTGTCACACTGTCCCTGCTGCCTAGAGACATGGTCAGTCAGCAAGTCCCAACAATCCTCCTGTCTCCACTTGTCACAGCACTAGGATTACAGACCTACACATGGCCATACCCAGCTTTTTGCAAGATTCCCATGTTTGTCCAGAAAGCTGTTTTACCCACTGAGCCATCTTTTCCAGCCCCATTTGTTTCTCTAAAAACATGCATCTAGCTTTCGCACTTTATATACCCTGATCGACGTTCAGCGGTCATAGCTAATTCTGCCTCTCTTCACTTGATGCTTGCACAGTTACCACTGGACTGCAAAACAGAAAGTCCATTTGCCGGCCAACCAATTACAAAACGACGATGCCATGAACATCTTACATACCGTTATGGCTGACACCAATTTACCTTTGATGATCATTTTATGGCTGACACCAATTTACCTTTGATGATCAGAAATGCATTATGGGTACAGCCTTTTTCATTGCAACCCTCCATACTGCATGAAAAAAAAAATACACAGAATAAGTCCTTAGCTACAGGAAAGTCTTAGTCAGCAGTTTTATTTTCCACACCTTTAGGCTTTAGTGAAAATAGTGCCCACTGTTAGTTAGAGAGAGCGAAGTCAGCACTTGGTGAGTGCTGGTTCACCTGGTACCTTTTGGCGCACAGTACACTGAAAGAAGATTGCTGGTATTCATTCGGTCTTGCCAAGATGACCACTGCCTGTATTTCTTCCCTAAAAATGAGTTCTAGGTGTTACTCTGGTATATTATCGTTTTAATGGAGTAGATGGGCACATGCACAAAAGTTAAGAAAGTGCCATATCTGGAGCCAAGGCAGACCACAAATCTATCATCTTCCAGCCTCGGCCTCTTCAACAATGGGTTCACAGGCATGCATGATCACACCGGCTCTGCTGCTTTCCTTAGGTGTGGATTTTCTTATGGTTTTGAAGGCGGGAACCGTGACTGAAGCCTTTCCCACAGATGTCACATCTGTGCGGCTTTTCTCCAGTGTGAACTCTCTGGTGTGTTTGAAGACTTGAGAGCTGACTGAAGCCCTCCCCACACTCCTCACACTTGAAGAGTTTCTCCTTCGTGTGAGTAATCAGATGGACTCGAAGCTTGGAGGGGAAACGGAAGGCCTTTCCACACTCCTTACATTTGTGAGGTTTCTTTCCCATGTGGTCCCTCTGATGGTGGCGAAGGTCCGTGCAGGTGTCAAAGAATTTCCCACACTCCTGACATCTGAAAGGTTTCTCTTCAGCGTGGTATCTCTGATGGTAGGTAAACTGAGAACTGTATATAAAGCCCTTTCCACACACATCACACTTGTATGGCTTCTCCCCAGTGTGGACTCTGTGATGGTAATGGAGGCCAGAGGAGCGACTGAAGCCTTTCCCACATATATCACACTTGTATGGTTTTTCTCCAGTGTGAACTCTCTGGTGGGCTTGAAGACGCGAGCGCTGGCTGAAGCCCTTCCCACACTCCTCACACTTGAAGAGTTTGTCCTTCGTGTGAATGCTCAGATGGACTCGAAGATTGGAGGGCAAACTGAAGGCCTTTCCACACTCCTTACATCTGTGAGGTTTCTCTCCTGTGTGCATCCTCTGATGGTGGCGAAGTTCTGTGCTCCTGCCAAAGCCTTTCCCACACTCCTGACATTTGTAGGGTTTCTCTCCAGTGTGGCATCTCTGATGGTAGATGAACTGAGAACTGTACCTAAAGCTCTTTCCACACACATCACACTTGTATGGCTTCTCCCCAGTGTGAACTCTCTGATGGGAATGAAGGCCAAATAAGCGACTGAAGCCCTTCCCACACACCTCACACTGGTGTGGTTTTTCTCCAGTGTGAACTTGCTGGTGTGACTGATAATCACTGAGCTGACTAAAGCTCTTATCACACTCTTCGCACTTGTAGACTTTCTTCTCTGAGTGGACCCTCTGAGAAGCAGGATCCGACCCACAACTGAAGCCTTTCGCACACTCCAGACTCTTAGACGGTTTCTTTCCAGTGTGTGTTACTTGGTGTTGTTTAAGATTTGAACTATAGCGGAAGCCCTTCCCACACACTTCACATTTGTATGATTTCTCTCCAGTTTGAACTCTCTGGTGGGCGCGAAGCCTCGAGGACCGACTGTACCCCTTCCCACAGGTTTCACATTTGAATTGCTTCTCTTCAGTGTGGCTACTCTGATGGACTTGAAGGCTGGAATCCTGGCGGCAGCCTTCCCCATATTCCTTACGCATACAGGGCTTCTCTCCGGTGTCAGCACAGGAATGGTTTCTCTCCCTTGTGAGCTCTGCAGTGAATGATGAGACCCTCGCTGCTGCTGAACTCTTTCCACAGCTCTCACATCTGTAGGGCTTCTGTCCTCTGTTGCTTTTAAGCTGCTTACAAAGCGATGATTTCTTCCTCGAATCTGCAAACACACACAGGTCACACTTCACACAGATCGGCTTATTTCTGCTCTGGTTCTGTGAATTATGCAGACACCTATTTTGGCAATAATTATGAGTTCTTGAGACTGAAAAGTCTTCATGTTCAAGGCAGCTGGAGCTATCTCCTTCGGGATTCCCTGTATTGCCGTTGTTGTCAGAAACCAGAACGGAATCATCTTGCAGTGCTTGAGAACGCCTCCTCTGAAAACACCTGGTCGGTTCCTGCGCAACCTGTTTCCAGATGCGCCAGCAAGACAGCTCTTCCTGGGCAAGGTGTTTTAGTGCACGTCTCCCAGTAGTCGCCGACTCATGTTCACTCCTGCTGCCTGTAAGAAAGCAGTCGTAGAGATGAAACAGGTTATGGGAGAAGGCCATACTAAGGGCATGGATGAGATCGAATCCAGGCAGGGCAAAGGTCACCCTGTCCTTTCCTCAGGTCTTCCTAGATGTGGAGCAAGGGTGACTCGCAGTGTTGGGTGGAACCCATTTACAGACTCTGTCTGGTGTGCACCATCAGTGCTACAATAGCTGGAGAGATGGCGCAGTGCTTAAAAGCACTTGCTGATCCTCCAGAGGACCTGAGTTTGGGTTCTGGTACCTACATTAATGGACTTACAACTCCCTGTAATTCCAGCTACAGGGAGTCTAGCTCCACGCACACCATATGCATGGGCCATACAAACACCAACATTTTTTAAAATTTAAAAATGAAGAAACACGAAACAAAACCACGAACGCTATGGGCACAAAGACTATCCATGCATCCATGCTCTAACACACAATGACGTTAATTAAAAGTGTGTTCATCCTTTTTCCTTAGAACTTATGCAAATGGGACTCTTTCAAATTTAAGTTAGAAAACCCTCAAACTTTGTTAGGCCAGTGGGCAGGAATAACAACACGGATACACTATGGAGCGGACCTGGGAAACAGGTAGCATGGGTTCTCACCAGGATATCTACTTCTTTGGGCTTCTGTTTTCTTCAGCCAAAGCTTTTCTTCTGCTTCCAGTAGAGCCACCACATGTGCTTTGTGGGGAAAGCGCCCTAAGAAAAGACAAAACAAATAATTTAAGGTGAACACAAAATTGAAGCATGTTTTTGTCTAAATTACAAAATCCTCAGCACCTGTGTAATTAATGTTAGAAATGTTTTGATCACGAATTGTACTGAGAAGCCAAGGGCTGGGCATTCAGCTCAGAGGCTAACTGCACTTGCTATTAGCATGAGGACTGAGATCGGTCCCCAGCACCCATGGGAACAGCCATACATGGTCTCCTGATGGCACCTAATATCCCTGATGCTTTGGCAGACAGTGATAAAGGAGGATGCCTGATAATCTCCATGTGCACACAGATTTGAAGGGAACTTCAAAAGTTAACAGAAATCAAGGTCATGGCCGTGCATATATGACAGAATCTGTTCCATCATGTCTTAACCTTCTCTCGCATCCCTCACTGGAAACCACCAGGCTCTGCTGCAGGAGGTCCTCCAGAACAGATTCCGACATCCTATCCTTATCTAGTCTATTGCAAAGAAAATCTATGCCAAGCAGTGGTGGCACATGCACTTAGGAGGAAGCACTCGGGAGGAAGAGGCAGGCAGATCTTTTCGAGCTAGAAGCCAGCTTGGTCTACAAAGCAAGTTCCAGAACAGCCAGGGCTAAACAGAGAAACCCTGTCTCTAAAGAAAAAAAGAAACTACTACTATATTGCACCGTGCTTGTTTCTTTACCTATTAATGGATCACAGGCAAAATTAGAAAGACAAAGTACAGGGCTGAGGCATGACTCAGTAGCAGAGCACCTGCTTAGAATCTCCCAGTGAGGGGCCTGGGTGTGGCTCAGTGGCAGAGCCCCTGCCTAGAATCCCCCAGTGAGGGGCTGGGGTGTGGCTCAGTGGTAGAGCCCCTGCCTAGAATCCCCCAGTGAGAGGCTGGGAGTGTGACTCTGTGGGACTACACTTGCCTAGAGGTCACCGGAAAGCTCAACATTGCTCAACAGCAGATTCCTACCTAGCATACACAAGACCCCGTATTTTAGTCTCAGAAAAATCCACAGTATTGAGTTAAATTACTCATTTGTGGTTCATGGGAAACAGGGTGTGTCGTCCGTCGTCTGTCTCCCCTCCTCTCCCCTCCCTCCTCCCCTCCCCCCACAGTATATGGACATTCTGGATGGTAGATCATCCTGCTGTGGGAGCTGTCTTGGGCCTGGCTACTAATTGCTAAATGTTAGTAGCAGCCATCCCTGAACTGTGAGAAATATGTCTGCTGTGGAATAATTCTTCTACACACGGTGAATACATATCACTCCCATTGGTTAATAAAGAAGCTGACTGACCTATAGCAAGGCACGATAATATTAGGCAGGGACAATCAAACAGAGGATACTGGAATGAAGAAAGGTGGAGTCAAGGAGAAGCCAGTCAGCTGTGGAGGAAGCAAGACATATAGAAAATGCGGTAACAAGCCATAAGCCATGTGGCAAAGCATAGGTAAGAAATAAGGATTAATTTAAATGTAAGAGTTAGGTAGTAACGAGCCTGGGCTATTGGCCTAGCATTTATAAATAATATTAAGCCTGTGTGGTAATTTGGAAGTGGCTCCAGGGACAGGAAAACTCCACCTGTTACATGAGTCCAGACATTGCCGAATGTTCTCTAACAGAAAATCTAGCTGAGAATCGGTGGTTTAAAAAGATTTTGACTGAGCAGAAACATCAGAAAAATCCCTTTTGTCCTAGGGAATCTTTTCAAATGATCCAGAGCCTTGAGCATCTGAGGACAGAGAGTCTCTGGGAGGCTGAGGTTCGGTGTCACAGGACACCCGTCCTCACCCACAGCAACCAGGTTCTTGAAGTTCTCCAGCATCACGTCTTTGTACAGCTTTCTCTGCGTGAGGTTCAGCAGCCCCAGTTCTTCTGTAGTAAACACCAATGCCAAATCCTTGAATGTCACCGCCTCCTGTGACATCAAACAAAAGTCACTTTGATCCAGCTCCCATGGAAGAGGAGAAGCAGAGAGGACACGGTCACATGGGTGCTGCAGACTCAGGGGTCCAAGCAGCCTGAGCCAATAGTTGTTCTGCACTCACACTCCTCCCCAACAATAGTCTAAACTGACTCTGCTACTCCTCCCTCTGTGTGTATGTGCGTGTGTTCTTCCTTGAGGGCGAGGTGAGAAAGGGTCCCACACAGCCCAGGTTGTACTCAAATTCAGTATCACAGAAGATAGATAACCTTGAACCTCTGTTCCTCCTGGCTTTACCCACAGCACTCGAAATTTGGCCATGCACGCCAGGCCTGGATTTTATTTTGACCATGCATGCCAGGCCTGGATTTTATTTTGACCACGCACACCAGGCCTGGATTTTATTTTGGCCATGCACGCCAGGCCTGGTTTTTATTTTGGCCATGCATGCCAAGCCTGGTTTATACAGTGCTAGAGATCAAAGCCAGGGCTGTAGGGACACTAAGCAGGCACTCTATCCAGCTCCAGCCCCACAAATAGCTATATCATACCCAAAGTAACAAGTTATTTTTCTCAACAATTTTGTAAATCGGTAACAAATGATAACACACAGAGCACCAAACTCAGGTTTCTACAACACCTCAGTCCCCGAAAAAGACAAAATGCAATATAAAATTACTGAGAAATATCTGACCTGAAATCCAGCCATTTTCTCTTGTTCCTTTGGAGGAAGGTCACTGCCCTGAGAAGGCATAACTAAGGAAAGATGAAGAAGCCATGAAACAAATGTCAGAACTGTCATTAGCCCAGTTGAAACACTGACCCTCCTGCTTCCAGACACACGCCACCACACACAGCTCAGAAACCAGAAGCACACACTGGATTCAGCGACTAGCAAACCCCTTAGCTCATCTGGGCAGTGAACAACCTATACAACCAAGTTCCTTATTCCTACCATGGAGTTTCAGATTTGAGAATGGGGGGACATGAGGGTCAGGAAACAATGTTCAGCTGATGAGCAAATGAATGATAGGAAAGAAAGGGGAAAAGCAGGATCCAAATGCCTGGCTCCATTTCTGGAAGTACTGCTTACATCTCAACACAGGGAATGTTAGAAAACCTGTGTCTCACTTTTACCACAATGTCATTTCTGCCTACCCCACAGGGGGCGCCAAGAACTAAAGAGCACAGGGAAAGTTACAAGAAGAGGGGATGGAGATTTGAGTTGTTGCTTGCAAAGGACCTGGGTTTTATTTCCAGCACCTACATAGTAGTTCACAACTGTGTGTAATTCCAGTCCAAGGGATCCAACACCCTCTGTTGGCCTCTGCAGGTACCAGGTACACACATTGTATACACATTTAGATTCAGGCAAAGTACTTACGTACTTAAAACAACATAAAATCAAAATGTTTTTAAAGACTAGGAAACCCCTTTTCTTATGAGAAAAAAAAAAGCAGATATTCTGCAACATAAATTATATATACAGTGTGCTCCTATGAAAGTCACCTTTAATTTCTAAAAAGCCTAATTCTGACCTAAAATACCTTAACTAAATATTTTTACCCTAGAGTAATATTTTATTGACACTGGTATCTAAAAGGCATCAATTTATTAGCTGAACAAAAAATGAAGGAAACAGATATGAACCTGGAAAAAAATGGACTATAAGAGGTTAAGGGAAAACAACACGCATCTATTCAGTACCTTTGGTGTTTTGTTTTCTTGGAGACAGTAGCTCAGTATCCTGGCTGGCTTGGAACTAGTTATATAGACCAAACAAGCCATGAAGTCAAAGAAATTGACCTGCTTCTAGCTCCCCAGTGCTGTGACCAAAGGCTTTCACCATGACATCGGGCCACTTATAACAACAAAGTATGGCTGTGGTTCTGGTAAAAGTCAGGCCTGTAACCTAAGCCCCTAAGACACAATTTAAAACAAGAAAGACACTGTTGGGAGGTTGGGAAGTTATCTGCCTCCCAAGCACAAGGCCTTGGATTCAGACCTCACTGACAGTTAAAAAGACACTGTCAAATTTTAATTATCTTTGTATTCTCTGTGTTTTTCAGAATGGGAATACATGCTGGTTCAGCTTTCTATTTCTGCAGTAAGTAACCACCCCCCACTTTTCCAGTATGTGTGATGTGCATGTGCACGGATATTTTTACGTGTGTACAGTGGGAATCTAGCAGAGTCATTGTCTCTAGGGTAACATTAGAATGTAACTGCTGTTTCTCACTGGGTCTAGGGTAGGAGTAGAATGCATTAGTGCTTGTTGGAGGTTCCTAGACCTTGAGGAAACTATTGCAGAGCACAGGGATTGTTTTCTATGGTTTATGGAGTTGATTTTCCATCTGGTGCATGACTTTGGTCTCCAGACTATCCAGGCACACATGGAGCAACTTGAATTACTGGGTACTGCGAACAGTACACAATAAGGACTAAGGCTGCAGGGGTCTGATGGTTTCCTTCAGCGAGCATAAGTAGATCAAAGAGACCTTGGTATGAGGAATTTGTTGTAATCCAAACACGACCTTTGTGTGTCAATTAACAAATATACTTCTGAACAAAGGTTTGAGGTCAAGTTCACAAAAACTGTTCCTCCCTGCAGCCAGCGAGCCTAAAATTACATTCTGGAGTGACTCTCCTTGGAACACCCCACAACACACAACACCCAGCATGTATGGGCACCCATGGATGTGGAGGCCTGAGGCTGAAGTCAAGAATCAACCTTCCTTTTCCATCTCATTCATTCACTGAGAGGTAGGGTCTCTCAATCAAACCCAGAGCTCACTGAGGAGGGTACTCTGGCTAGGCAGTTTGCTCTGGGGATCCCATCTCAGCTGCCTAAGGCTAAGCTCACCTGACATTTACAAGGGTTTCCGGATCACTTTAACCCTGGAACCACCTCCCCAGCCCTAGATATCAGTTTGTATAAGAATGACACAGACAACATAAATTCCACATCAACTGACGGTAACTAAAGGATAAAACTAAGACATGAAAGGTGAACAAGAGGAGGCAATGCAGGACCTGGCAAGTTAAAAACATATATACATGGGGCTGGAGAGATGGCTCAACGGTTAAGGGCACTGACCGTTCTTCCAAAAGTCCTAGGTTCGATTCTGAGCAACCACATGGGGGCTCATAACCATACATAATGAATCTGGTGCCCTCTTCTGCCTGCAGGTGTACATGCAGGCAGAACACTATATACATAATAAATAAATCTTTTAACATGTATATATAAAGATGTATGTAATACAGAGGGGGAGGTTATTTTCCTAATCATTTCAATTTAAGAAGTGACTTTGTACTTGAACTCAACCAATACTCATATAAATATGTATTAACGAGACGTTTTAACGAGACAGCTGATCACAGGCTTAAAAAGAAATGCCAGCTGTATTCTTTCTCATTACACAAGGCCTACTAAACGAAGTGTGGAGACTCACCTGTAATCCCAGCACTGGAGAGGTGGAGGCAGAAAGATGACAAGTAAGAGGTTGTCTTTGGCTGCACAGTGAGTCTGAGGCCACCTGGGTTACACCTGGGGGGGGGGGGGGGGGGGACAGTGCCTCGGGCGTTAAGAGCACTTGCAGGCCTTCCAGAAGAGCAGAGTTAGTCTCCAGCACCCATGTCAGCACTACAAACGCCTGGAACGCTATCTCTTTCCCGCTCTCCACCCCCCCACCCAACACGCACTTAAAAAAACAAAAACAAAAAACTGCATGGAACCCGTACTCTAGGGATCTGATGGCCCTAGTACTAGCTTCCTCAAGCACCCGTGCGTTCTCGTTCTCCTCTCTCTCCTCTCTCTTCCTCTCCTTCTCTCCCTCTCTCTCTCTCCTCCCTCTCTCCCCCAGCCCCGAAACACACACACACACACACACACACATATATATATATATATATATAGAGAGAGAGAGAGAGAGAGAGAGAGAACAAATTAAATGTGATTATGTTTCTGGTTTCCAATTTCCCGGGTCAAGGGACCCGGATGAACTGAAGGGACACCCCAACAGAACAGCCCCTTTGGCGCAGTACCTGGGGCAGTGACGGCTGTAACAAGTCCCTCCTTCCTTGGAGATGCGTTAGGGAAAGGACGCGGGGAGACTTTCCCACAGCCAAGGATGGCTCTCGTCACGGGCTCCCAGGAGGAGGACGCCCGAGGACACGGCTGGGACCAAACAAAGGGAGGCTGGCTAATCTGTCCTCATTAGATCCTAACTGCGTGGCAACCCAGCCACAACGGGAGATGCTGAGAGGCGGAGGGGGGGGGGGGGGGGATGAGAATTGAACTTCCGGTTTCGCACTTCCGGGCTCCAGGAGCGTCGTTTCGCAGGCTGAAAAGACTTGAAAGGGGCTGTGATTGATGCGGGATGCACTCGCCTTCCTCGTCCGAAAGAGACGGTGCCTTGCTCTCCATGGGCGAACACGGCTTGACTAGTTCTAGCTCCTGAACTACACTTCCCGGAAGCCATCGGAAGAACAAGCGCCCGCCCTCCCCGAAGAGTTTTGGGACACACTTCCCAGAATTACCCCACTGCAAGGAAAGACCTGTGGGAGCTTTCGGACTACAGCTCCCAGAAGTCTCTTCATCTTCCGGTCACTTTATCTGCCTCACAAAGAAAGATCGTAGACCCTTTGGATAAGTGTTGGTCATTCCCTGAACTATTAGGTAGTTTGTATTGTTTTGGAGGTCTCTGGGACAAAATACCCGACAAAAATAACATTAGGAGAGGTTATGGTTTTTTGTTTTTGGGAGTGGGGGACGGGGGGGGGGGGGGGGGGGGGGGGGGGTTAGGGACCAGCCAAGTTTTAAAGGGACATCAGCTCATCGTGGTTCGAAAGGCGGGTTGGGAACAGCTCTGTCTTGGGCATCTATAAATGCAGTCTCCCACTTGGTGACTGGTCCGAGAAGCAGAGAAGGAAAGCCAGCACCAGAAGCGAATGTCTGCCCTCGAGGCCCCATTTCCAAAGTTTCAGTAACTTGGGATCACGTGTCCCATACATGAGTCTGGAGTCATTTCCCATCTACTCCATACTGTGCCTAAGAATCCATGGCGCAGTATGGAGCATCTTGCTACCGCCAGGGTAACAAAATTCACCATCAGAAAGGATAATTGAATCTATAAAGCATAATGCAAACAAAACACAAAATCCAAGAAGACAGGGCCCAACTTCACAGCAAAGGATGGGGGGGAAGGACAGATACTAACCATAACAAGACCAAGTGGATACCGCAGTTGACAGCTTCCTCTTTCGTCCACACTGGGGATTGTACCCAGGATCTGGCAAGCTAGAAAAGTATTCTAACACTGACACATCCCCGGGCCCAAAGGGGGTTTTTATAGATTTTGGCTTTGCCGTTTTAAAGGCTGTTAGGGTTCCTGTTCCAAACAGAAACATCTCAAGCTTCAAAAGTACATCCTCCCCCTATTTGCTTAAAAAAAAAAAAAAAAAAAATCTTTTCAGTACTCAGCACGAGATTTATGCCAATCCAGCAGCCCTTTTCCCTTTATAACAGACACTGTGGCACTTCCAAAATGCCCTGGTAGGTCACCCTTCCCAAAGTTCTTGTGATACTCAAAGACGTCAGGGTTGCAACCAAAGCCTTCTCAGGGTAATTAACAGAGTGCCTGGAAACACTGGGATGTGAGGAGCAGAAACACTAACCTGAACAATTACACTTTCTTTTGAAAAATTAAAAGAATTCACACAACAGGCCAGTGACATGATTCAGTGGGCAAAGGTGCTTGCCACCAAGTCTGACATCCTGAGTTTGATCCCTGGTTCCCCAAAAGATGCCCTCTGCTCTCCACACATATGCTATGGCATGCCTCCACTGGCATGTGTGTGTCCCCAAACACGTTAAATTGTCTTTGAGATAAGTTTTACTTATGTGTATGAACTCTTTGCCTACATGCATGTACATGTACCATATATTGGATCTTCTGGAACTAAGGTTAAAAAATGATTGTGAAGCCCCCGGGTGGTGGTGGCGCACACCTTTAATCCCAGCACTTGGGAGGCAGAGGCAGGCGGATCTCTGTGAGTTTGAGGTCAGCCTGGTCTACAAGAGCTAGTTCCAGGACAGGTTCCAAAGCTACAGAGAAACCTTGTCTCAAAAAAAAAAAAAAAAAAAAACTGGTTGTAAACCACCATGAGTTCCGGGAAATGGATCCTTTGCAAGAGCAACAAGTGCTTTTCCTACTAAGCCATCTCTGGGTCTAAACTGTTTTAAAATGTAATCGAAAGCAACAAAAAATGCACAGGACGCAAATCTTTCAAAACATTATTTTACAGAATGTTTTTCCTGAACGGATTCCCTGATGTTTTTGCCATCTCTCGTGTTCTTAGAAGCCCTATCACTGCTGTGGATTCGGTGATGAATTAGAAGATTTGACCGCCAACCAAAGCTCTTACCGCAAACCTCACACTTGTAAGGTTTCTCCCCTGTGTGAACCCTCTGATGAGACTGTAGTTGTGAAGAACGGCTGAAGACTTTTCCACACACGTCGCACTTGTATGGTTTCTCTCCGGTGTGGACGCGCAGATGGACTTGAAGGTTTGAATTCAGGGTGTAGCCTTTCCCGCACACAGTACAAACATAGGATTTCTCTCCGGTGTGTATGCCCTGATGGGCCTGGAGACTCGAAGGGCGACTAAACTCTTTCCCACAATCCACACACTTATAGGGCTTTTCTCCGGTGTGGACTCTCTGATGGATGTAGAGATTTGAGCTACAAATGAAGCTCTTCCCGCACTCCTCACATTTGTAGGGTTTCTCACCTGTGTGTACTCTCTGATGGGACCGCAGGTGTGAATTCCGACTGAAGCTCTTGCCGCACGCGTCACATTTGAATGGCTTCTCCCCGGTGTGGAGTCTCTGATGGTCCTGAAGGTGGGAGGCCTGGCTGAAGGCGCTCCCACACGCCTCACAAACATACGGTCTCTCCCTGGTGTGGACTTTAAAATGAACATTAAGTGCAGATCTACAGCGGAAGAGTTTGCCGCATCGCTCACATTCGTATGGTTTCATGGCCGCAGGGACCTCCTGAGGGATGTGTGGATGCGGATCATGGCCAAGTCCCTGATGTCTTTCTCCCGTGTGACCTCGCTGACGAACACAACCATCTGTGCTATAACGGAAACCTTTCCCGCATTCCACACAGGTGCAAGACCTCTCTCTCGGGTCTGACCGTTTGTGGGGGTCAAAGCTGGAGAGATCATTATTTTTCTGTCCAGCCTGAATGGTTCTATTCTGATCAAAGGTTGCTGCCTTTATGTTCTCTCTCACACAACCACTGGGGCTGTGACCATCTTTACTTTTGTGTACTCTGTGATCACTGAGGGAACGCGAAATCCGACCTACAGAGTCCATATCCTGTTTACTCTGACCCCGTTCACTTCTTGTGGAAATCGGTTGGTATCCATTCTTAGGACTCTGTGGCTCAGTCAGGAAAACTTTTTGCCAAGAACCCTGGGCTCTCAACGTTGGAAGTGGGAGCCTTCCAGTATCAGCCTTTGCCTTATGACTCTGGGTATAGTTCTCATCTTCGGAAACATGTGCAGATGACCATCTCCCGCCCAGGCAGGGGGAGTCACCCTGTAACTGCGTGCTAGTCACCATGGAGTCCTGACACCTGCTTAAGTCGTCCATGACCCGCTGCCAGATGTGCCAGCAGGAAAGGGCTTCACGTGACCTTCCATCCTGGACAGCCCTCAACTCGCTCTGACTGTTAATTCCTATGAAGACAGGGATAAAGACAAGTGAAACTGTTTACACTTCAGGGTTTCACACTCAGGACATAACACTAGACTGTAATGCAATTCAAGAGGATTCTTCAGTTTCTCTTTTTTTATTACTCATGAAGTTCTCTGCTTTAAAAACTGACAGAAACCTAGATATAGTCTACTGCATTCCCAACTATTAAGAGCTAATAAAGCCAGGGCTGGAGAGATGGCTCAGCAGTTAAGAGCACTGGCCACGCTTCTAGAGGACACAGGTTCATCCACGGCAGCTCACAGGCAATCTGACCCCCTCTTCTGGCCTCCGTGGGCACTGAGCATACATATGGTAAACATAAATGCATGTAGCCAAAAACCCATACAGATAAAACAATAATTTAAATTTTAAAGGAGAGAACTAATAAAAGTCATTCAAATTAATTACCGACATACTTTCTGAAATTTTTTTCTTTTTAAAATTATGTATCTTTCCTACCACATGACAGTGTCAATAAGAAGGAACATTTTTTCAGTGTTCAGTTTTCCAGCCACTACCTAGATTCCTGCCTGGCATGTGTTCTGGCAAAGTATGTGCAGGTGGCTCCTTGGTTCACCCTAACTCCAAACCCAAGTCACGGAAGCAAAGGGCATTTTAAAGTAAATGTATGGAAGTGATCTGGATCCAAGTTCAGCTGAGAACTTGCAACGCTTTGTTTGGGGTCGGGTACACGGTGGGAGAGCCGAGGATTCAGTCAAAGGCCAAAGGACACACGGAAGCCAAAGGGAGCATGAAGAGCCATCCCCCAACGCTCACTGAGGCATCTGGTCCGCCCCTGTTCTCACTTTCCCAGGAGTCCAAATTCAGAGGCAGTGAGGACTGTCATCATCATCGTGGGAACAAGGAAAACAGTGCTTTGGAGTTATCCAAGCGTGGTGGTGGTGGTGGTGGTGGTGGTGGTGGTGGTGGTGGTGCACACTTTTGATCCCCAGCACTCGGGGGCAGAGGCAGGCAGATCCCTGCAAGTTTGAGGTCAGCCTGGTCTACAGAGAGAGTTCCAGCCTACCAGGGCTACAAAGTGAGACCATGTTCTCAATCAAAAGTCTTCCAACTTGATAAATGCAATGTATCAGGGAATTTGAAACTAAAGTAGCTTGTGATAAACATTCAGAAGAAATAGGAGACAAACTACCAGAGAACCACTACAAGCAGTAATGGCATCACTAAACATCTACTGAAAATGTGTGTGTGCGTGTGTTATATCTAATTTATTATAAGTTTCAGTATATATTATATATTTAATTTCCCCCATACATTTGTTGGGCTAACAATGGAATATTCATTTCTTACTGTAGATGTGAACTCTGGAGGAAACTAATGGATTGCAGCCGGGCAAACCTCTTAACAGCAAAGTTCACTCTGGCTACTTTCTTAGACTTCCTTCTCCTACATAAGGAGTAAGGAGACAGAATTTTACTTTTCCTATGGATAAAGCCTAAGAACTAATCATAGGAATTCTTGTGGGACACACTTCCCAAGATGACGACGGAACTCAGTGTCCGGCGTGCACAAGGCCTGAGGTTTGATGCCAGTGCTGGGGGTGGCGGCAGTTAAAGCCATATTGAAACATGATTTCCTATCGAAGTGAACGTGAAGTGAAGCTACAACTGCTCAAACCACGTCTCAAGCTAGTCCTCTCCACAGAACTACAAGTCCTTTAAGACATGCGTGAATCAGCCTGTGCGAGCCCACACTCCTGAGACGGCAGAACGAGGCTAGGATTAATTTGAAGACGAGTTCCACAAGAATGTCGCAACGACCTAGGACCAAGTTTGGACATTCGGACAGCATGGCAGCGGCAACAGGGACAGTGAACAGCAAGTACTGGGATGAGTCACGTAAGACTTCGCCTAAATTTCTCTCCCTCTTTGCTGCCTTCTGCATTAGAGGCTTCACTCCTCTATGTGCGACTTATCTCATTCGAAAAGCTGACGCTCTGCAAACATGCAAAACCACAGATGCCCAAAGGGCACATTAGAGCAAAACTGCAGTGGGAACTTCAGGAGCAACTGAGTCGTCACCAATACAATGAAAATAGTATCTTTTGAAACTCCTACACAACAGCCCAGTGGAGAAATACCGTTGATTCTGTGACCCTCCCATCATTAACATATACTGCAAAAACAACATCTGAGTGACCTTTAACCTCCCGTCACTTCTGCTCCCTCCTCACTGGCTCTACACCGATTCACGTACTTGGCCAGCTTTCCATACAACGTGTGTCATTTTCTCTGAGAAAGGCTAGTGTTTTCTATTTAATTATTGCCAGTTCGGTGCTGGAGAGATGGGCCAGTGGTTAAAACCACTTCTGCTCTTCCAAAGGACCAGCGTTTGATCTCCAGCACCACACCTGCCTAACTCCAGCTCCAGAGGATTCAATGCCCTTTTCTGGCCTCTGAGGACTCTCACACCAAAGTGTCTCTCTCTCACACACACACACATATAAAAATAAATATCTTTAAGAAATCATCAGTAGAGGGACTGGAGAGATGGGCCAGCAGTTAAGAGCACTTGCTGCTCTACCAGACGACCCCAAGTTTAGTTCCCAGCACCCACATCCCATACCTCACAACCACCCATAACTGCTGATACCCTCTTCTAGCCTAAGAGGGTACCCACACTCATGTACACATACACAGAACAAGATGTAATAATTTTTAAAAATAATAAAATGTGGGGCTAGAGAGATGACTCGGTTGTTAAGAGCACTGGTTGCTCTTCCAAAGGACCCAGGGTCAGTTCTCAATACCTACATGGTGGCTCACAACCATCTGTGACTCCAGTTTCAAAAGACCCAACACCCTCTACTGGCTTCCACAGGCACCACAGGAATGAGCAAATTCAGAGAACCATTCTGAGAGCCCCAAAGCTTCCTCCCAACTCCAAGGCCACAAAGATATGTGCTAGAGAGCTTCCGTTCTCACCCACTGAGAGCAGGTTCCTAAAATTCTCCACCATCACCTCTTGGTACAGCTTCCTCTGGGAGGAGTCCAGCAGCTTCAGCTCCTCCTCAGTGAAGGCCACAGCCACATCCTTGAATGTCACCGCCTCCTACAAGAAGCACAAGTGACCTCAATCTTACAACCAACCTCTGTTAGCACCATTAGCAGCATCTGTCCCAGGGGAAGCTCAGAAAGACTCAGGAAGTTCTAAAATGAGGTGTCTTGAGATTCCAGAAATAAACAACTCAAAAGTCTCAGGAAGTCCTAGAAACTGGCCAGATGCACAAAGTCCCTCTGGTCACAGGGTGAGTAGTAAGGACTGCTGAGGGCACTCAAGTCAGCAGAATTTCCTAGAAGGGACACCTCTACCTCCTGAGGTGTCTGCAGTTCCAGGTTGAGTCCTGGGGCTAACTCCAAGAAACTCACTGACTCACCTACTTGGACTTGAGTGGGATTGTTACTTGATTCTGTCATGGATTCCCTACTTGGGGTGAAAAGATGTTTGTTTGTGTCTCCCCAGGAAAAGGATCAACACCAACGTCCATTAGAGACAAAATGGCCCTGAAAAGGCAGGGAGGAGTTAAACGTACTGGGACAAACGGGCACCTGGCACATCCTAAGGACCTCAACTGCTTTCATACATCCTATTTTTAAAATCACGTTATTCTTTTAGTGTGTGTGAGTACACCCACGTGCAGTGTCACACAGGAGTGCATGTGACATAGCGCTCGTGTGAAAGAGAGTGACTTGTGGAAGTCGGTTCTCTGCTTCCACCATGGGGGTCCTGGGGATCAAACTGAGGTCTTCAGGCTTGGAGGCAAGCACGGTGACCCCTGCGCCATCTTGTCTGAGGATTACCTCAGCAATCTGAGGGTGGAAATGGCAAGCTCTTCTTACCTTGAGAGTGTTCATCATTTAGTGTTCCTTCCAGGAGGCGTAAAGCCTAAGAAGGCAGAAATAGGAAAAGAGAGAGGTCAGAGCCAGCATGCCACTGAACACACGGCGGAGGACCCTTGTCAGACAGTCAGGTGCATGTTCCTCCCACGTATCACAGGTACTCCTCTCAGGAAAACATCTCAGAACAGTGTACGACATTAGATTTCCTTATACTAATTTTTGCGATTTTCTCTAAATTTTAAATTACAGGGAAAAAAATTTTTTTTGATTCAGAGTTTCTCTGTGTAACAGTCCTGACTGTCCTGGAACTCGCTTTAATGATCAGAAATTGTCAGAGTCACAGCTGGTAGTCATGGTGATGCCAGTGCCCAAGGAAATAACCTCTAATGCTAACAATCCACAGTGGCCGCTAGTCGGTCTTCCCACTCCTGGCGGAAGTACTCTAGGACAAGAGAAGGCAAGGAATCCACTCCCCAGAGCCCACAGGGAATGAGTGCTCTGTGAACTCTAGTTTGACCCTACACACACCAGCGCCTTCTGCTCCTTGGGAGTCTGTAGTAAGATAGGACTGTTGACAGTATTTATTGTTTAATCCCAGCAGTCAAGAGGCAGAGGCAGGAGGTGAGTTCCAGAACAGCCAGAGATACACAGAGAAACCCTGTCCAATGGAAAAATAAAAATAAAAAAGAAGAGGAGGAAGAAGAAAGAAAGAGAGAGAGAGAACAAGAGAGAGAGAGAGAGAGAGAGAGAAAGAACGAAAATGTCTGCAGGAATCAAGTTAGGTGGGCAGGGCTTGAGCAGGGCAGGGCTCCCCAGGTGAGGCCAGGGCTGCCAGTTCAGGGTGAGTTTCTCAACTGCTGCAAGGGACAGCCAGTCCCCTGAAACACAGACACCAGTAAAGAGAAACTTACCCAAGAACCTGACAGAAACCACGCTAAAACAGTCACTGTTCCATTCACAGGCTAGAGTAGAACAAGTTCTTTCTTTGCATAAGTCTGTATTTTCCAACATTTCCATGTCTGCACGGTAAACATTATTTGGGAAGAGTGGAATAGATGAAACACGCTTTTTGAAGACCCTACCATGAGGAACTGGGGAGATGGCTTCATTGGTAGAGCTTGCTGGGCAAGCAAGGGGACCCGAGTTCCGTGCTGGTGGCACAGGTTGGTAAAGCCAGTGCTGAGAAGAGCAGCTAATGGCATTATCTTCCCTGCTTGTCGCCAGCCAGTCAGCCTCACCTAACTGGGCAAGGTGAGCAAGACACCCACAAGGTGACTCGGTGGGTAAGGTGCTTTGCCACCAAACCAGACTGAGTTTGAGCCCCAGAACCCACACGGTGGAAGGTGAGCAGCATTTCCCCAAACTGGTCCTCTAATCTCCACATGCACACCACAACTCGCGTGCCCCCCCCACAAAATAAATGTTAAATGGGAAAAAAAGGGGGGGGCGGTGGGGGAGGCTCCTGGGGAAGCCGAGTTGATCTGCAGTGTCCACACACACAAATATACAAACCCTGCTCTAATTCCCACATGCACACCACAACTCGTGTGCCCCCCCCCATAAATGTTAAATGGGGAAAAAAGGGGCGGGGGGCGGCTCCTGGAGAAGCCGAGTCGATCTGCAGTGTCCACACACACAAATATACAAACCCTGCTCTCAAGACCCCTGCGAGACAGTTCTAATCCATTTTCACATGACACTGGCCAGCTTCCTCAGGGAGCGTGGACCAAGTCAGTCTGGGTTCACACAGCCTAGCTTCTGAGGCCAGTCTCCTAACGTCTAATCACAGTCATGTACAAGTGTAAGACCCACACACCCTCTAGAGTCAGTCTACCCACCCGGGGCTCCGCATGGTGCTTTTTGGGAAGTCAGGACTGCGGGCAAATCGAAAATAGTGAAATGACAAAATCCCATCTCCGTCTACTCTATCTCATGGTTCGTGCCCCAGTACCTGCGGCAAGCTGCCAGCTACCTATAAGGTTCATAGGTGGGGACAGCCCAGCACTTGCTGGCTCACAAAAGCCGTGAATTGGAATATTACAATGGTCTCCATGACACCCACATGCCAGACAGTTTTTAAGCATTTTACGATCCATTTTTTTTTTCCTTTTACTAGGAAGGTCTAACTTCTCTTTTGCAGAACAGCCAGAAAATGCAGAGGGGTCAGCTAGAGCGGAAGCAGCAGAGCCAGCTGCGGGGCAGGAGAGAGGGGGATGCAGGTAGGGAGGGGGGCTATAGGCGGGGAGAGGAGGCTGAGGGCGGGGAAGGGGCTGTAGGCAGGGAGAAGGAGCTGCAGGCAGGGAGACGGGGCTACAGGCAGGGAGAGGGAGGCTATAGAGAGGAGGGGGGGCTGCAGGCGGGGAGGGGGTTGCAGGCAGGAAAAGGGGGCTGCAGGTAGAGGGGGGCCTGCAGGCAGGGAGAGGGGGTTTGAGAGTGGGGAGGGGGATTGCGGGTGAGGAGAGGGGGCTGCAGGCGAGTAGGGGGTGGCTGTGGGTGGGGAGGAGGCTGTAGGTAGGGAGGGGAGCTGCGGGTGGGGAAAGGGGCCTGCAGGAGGAAAAAGGGGGCTGCGGGCAGGGAAAAAGGGCCTGCGGGAGGGAGAGGGGGCTGCAGGCAGGGAGAAGGAGCTGCGGGCGGGCGGGGAGAAGGGAGATGCAGGCAGAGAGGGGGGCGGCGAGCAGGGAGAGAAGGGGACTGCAGATGGGGAGAGGGGCCACTGAAGTGGCTGGCACCGAAGGCCCGCAGATCCAGGTTCGCCCCGTCCCACGGAATGCCGCGGCTCCTTACCTTTCAAACTTCACTTCTTCCTTGTCTCCTCAAATACTGTCAATCTCAAAAGCATCTAGGGGACATTTTAGAGGTCCCTGGCTAAAATAACTCAAACCCAGGGGAACAGATGGCTAACAAGTCAATCTGAAGCTGACGAGTTCCCATAATTCCGCGTGGAGAAACTGTGGCGCCGGCTCGGTGGTAACGGAAGTGAGGATGCAGAGGCACAGACGCAGTCCCAGAAGGCTAGTGGAGGACCGCCCTCCTGCATCGAATTTCCCTCTAGATTTTCATTCCTTATACTCCTAAGAAAGGCCTGAGTAAAATATCTTTACATAGTAATATGTGTACCTTGAAAGTATAGAACTCCAGTTCCGGTTCCAGAGGACGCCGCCGCCTTCTGGCCTCCTCGAGCACTGCATGAGTGTACGTGATGCACAGACATAATGCAGGCAAAACATCGATACAAATAAAATCTTTTTAAAAACTAAAAATATACAAAATGAACCCTATTTATCTATCGGTGTGTTCATGCGTGCCACAACACAAGCGAGGAAGTCATAGGGCAACTTCCAGGAGAAAATTCTCTCCTTGCACCGTGAGAGTCGGGGGATCCAACTCCCTTGTCAGGCTGGGCAGTAGGGGTCTTTACCTGCTGAGTCATCTTACCAGCCCTTGGAAATAATCAACCTTCAAAAATGGGCAAAGATTCAAACATGGGTTCAGGGATTCAAATAGGAATGTGACTATAGCAGACAAGGACATGTAAAGATAAATCTTTTGTAAAAGAAAAGAAATGGATATAATCAAAATGAGCTAGCACCACAAGCTTGTTAGAACCAAAAAAAAAAAAAAGGAACAAAAACAAAAGAAAATGTTAGCATCCCAAGTGTTGGTGAGCAGAACCTAACTGTCCCACACTGGTGGTGAAGATGCGGAATGGACAGCTGTGCTCAAAAGCTCTGGTTTTAGCCGTGTTAAATATGTTTCTCACCATTCATCAACATAGAATAATCCTAGGTCTGAATGAAGGGAAAGTTGATAAGGAAATGGTTTTCAATTGTTTATAGCTGCCTGCCCCCATTACCAAACCCAAATGTGGTCTAGCCATACAAAAGAATACTATTCAGCAATGAAAAGGAATGTCCAAGGCCTAGAGACTGAAGGCTGTGGTAAAACACTTGCTTATGTATGGAGCCATGGGTTCAATCCCTAGTAAGCACCCCTCCTCTGGGATCCACACAAAATGGATGAATTAAAGAATTATACAAGTAGCTGGGCGGTGGTGGCACATGCTTTTAATCCCAGCACCCAGGAGGCAGAGGCAAACGGATCTCTGTGAGTTCAAGCCCAGCCTGGTCTACAGAGTGAGTTCCAGGACAGCTAGTGCTGTGAAAGCTCCTTTGGCTCCTTCAGCCAATAGCCTTTAAGATACCAGCCCACTTGGGTGTGGTCCTTTAGACTATAAATGCAGCTGTAAAGCCTGCGCTGGCTCTCTTGCTTCCAGCTCTCACTTCTGGCTGCTAGACTCTGTTCCTGTTTCCCGTTCGTGCAGAGGACTGTGATCTAGGATAGTCTCCCCTAAATAAATAACCCCTTATTATATGTAAGTCTGAACTAGTGTGGGATTATTTTGTATCTTCCGCCATCACAGCTAGGACTGTTACACAAAGAACCCTGTCTCGGAAAAAAAAATAAACAACGAATTATACAAGTGAAAGAAGCTAGATGCAACAGGCCACACAGGATAGGGTTCTAGATCAATAGGCCACACAGGATAGGGTTCTAGATCAATAGGCCACACAGGATAGTGTTCTAGATCAACAAGCCACACAGGATAGGGTCCCGTTTATGACATTTTTGTGGAAAAATAAACAATACAGAAATCGTCAAGGGCCAAAGAGAGAGAAGAATTCAGCGAGGATGCTAAATTTAGATGTCTAGGTGGGAGCCACCCCATAGCAAACATCTGCCAAGTCTACCATGACATAACAAAGTCAGCCTTACTGTCTACGTTTCCACTGAAATCATTTTATTGGAACTCCATATTTACCTCTTACCTCACTGTGTATTTTTTTAATCTTGAATGAATGCTGAGTTTTGTCAAATATTTTCTGAATAAATCGAGAGAGAGGTCAGACTCTACACCAACACCCTGCACCTATATGAGCCCCGAGAACGGCTGTGATTTGCATCTGCAGCTCAGAAGCCGGAAAGCTTGTTGGACTGAAGGTGGGGCTGACTGGGAATGCCACGGGGCACATTTCTGTTGACTAGAAACACACAGCTGATGATGATGGCCACAGAAGTGTAGACACTCATCAAAATTCAGGAAGCAATGAAATTGAGGTCTGTGCATGTGTGACGACCTACAAAGATATTTCAGTGAAGGACAAGTGTGCCGAAACACTGGCCACAATCCCCTGACTGCTGAAGCCACCAATGGACAAAGCCCTTCAGTTTGATAGACATTGGTACACAGGTTCCACGGGGTTGGGAAACCGGCCTGTGTGTGTAACTAACATGTCCTTCAAGCCTCCTAGGAACAATTTTACAGAAACTTTATTCAGAGATAGATTGAATAAAAAATTCCAAATGACGGCTCTTCTCAAAGCTGACTTAAGAGTTACTGAAGGCAGGAGGTGTCTTGGGCATTGCTTGCGTACAGAGGCACACAGTGTAAGTGGACATCTCAAATGTTTACTGTTAATCAGGAAGAAATGTATTTCAGAACCATTCCAATAAGTGATACTTTATTAATGGTGAAAGCAGTGGGCCACTTTCTGTTAAGAGTAGCTACGTGGCTGTTTAAAACCACGCTGGCTGGGACCCAGCAAGATTTGCAGCTAAACCCGTCTGATACTGAAGTGCCAGGGGTGAGAAGAGGAAAACAGTGTAAGGAAACGATTATGCTTCTGTGCGAGCAGAAATTGTGCGCAGAGTAGAAAGCACTGTGATTCATAGCAATGTCGGCCCTGAGCAGAGGGACTTCAAGCAGCCCACGGGCACTGTGGGTGGTGACAGTGAGGTGCCAGGGCTCGCGCTGTGAGTCCCGGCTTGGGTAAGAGCTGCCAGAAGCCCCTCAGCCTTATTAACTGTTGAATTCTGAGGTTTTGGCCACTGGGTATGTAGAAAGCTTGTAGTGTTTATAAATACCTTGTGGCCACCACATTCGGTTCTGCAGCCCCACGTGGGGTGGCAACCAGCAGCTTAAGAAATGTTGCTTCTGTCAAACAGACCTGGTCCCTTCTGTTAGGATAGTTAGAAACCTCAGGATGAAGCTCAACCTTTCTGCGGTTACTGTCGCAGATCATAAAATCTTATAGAGTGTGTTTCCTGGGGGTGTCCTCTGGTGCAGGGGAATCCCTGTGACCCTCATCGTCAGCATGGACTCGCTGGTGAATCACGAGGCTCGAGCTCCAGCTGAAGCCTTTCCCGCAGGCCTCACACTTGTACGGTTTCTCTCCAGTGTGAACCCTCTGGTGGGCTTTGAGGTAGGAGCTCCAGCTGAAGCCTTTCCCACACGCCTCGCACTTGTACGGTTTCTCGCCAGTGTGGATCCTGTGGTGGTCGTGGAGGTAGGACCTCTGCCGGAAGCGTTTGCCACACACGTCGCATTGGTACGGTTTTTCTCCTGTGTGGACTCCGCGATGAGCTAGAAAATTGGAGGCCCGACAGAAGCCTTTCCCGCACTCCTCGCACTGGTAGGGTCTTTCTCCGGTGTGGGACCTCTGGTGGGCTTGGAGGTGTGACTCTACCGTGAAGCCCTTCCCACACTCTGCACACTGGTACGGTTTCTCTTCGCTGTGAACTCTCTGGTGGACTTGGAGAATTGAAACGCGACTGAAGGCTTTGCCACACTTCTCACATTTGTAGGGTTTCTCTCCGGTATGGATTCTACAGTGAACGTTCAGATCTGAACTCCGACTGAAGCCCTTCCCACACGTGCTACATTTGTAGGGTTTCTCGCCAGTGTGGCCTCTCTGGTGAGCCAGAAGGTGCGAGGCCTGGCTGAAGCCTTTCCCACACTCCTCACATATGTAGGGCTTTTCGCCCGTGTGGACTCTCACGTGATTGTTAAATTCTGAGCTGTGACAGAAGCTCTTCCAACAAGCATCGCACTGATAGGGCTTGTTTCCAGTGTGGCCTCGCTGATGGTCCAGAAGCGTCGAGGCCCGGGTGAAGCCCTTCCCACACTCCTCACATTTGTACGGCTTCTCTCCCGTGTGCCTTACGTGGTGAGCTTGAAGACCCGACAGGCGGCAGAAGGAGTAGCCACACTCCTCACATTGGTACCGCCTCTCTCCCACGTGGGTTTGCCCATTCACCCCGAGATGACAATCCCAGCTAGCTTCTTCCCCATTCACCCCCTTTTTAGAAGGATCTTCACCACCACTCATTCCGCAGTGGAGCTGAAGCCGCGAATTCCGACCGGAATGTTTACTGAAGCCGGCTTCTTCACTCTGGACACCATCCTGTTTCTCCAACGGAGAGCCAGTTTCTCCAGCGTTCCCCATGCAGTCTCGACCCTGGGTTAACTCCCTTGTAACTTGGTGCCAGATTCGTGAGCAGAAAAGCTCCTCGTGCGGCAGGTACCTCCATCCTACCTCCTGAAGCAACTCCGTCTCATTTAGACTCCTGGCTCCTAAAAGCATAAAGAGAGTTCAGAGAGAGGCAGGGCGTGTGGATGCTCTGTTGACTGGAGCCAGAGTTATATAGTTAAGACCTCAGCCTAAGGCTTCACTGGACCAGAGAATGGTCCCCTTCCCTTTAACATCCTGTGTCTGTCATCTCACCCCCGCACCCTAGAAGCCAGGGGCACTAGAGAGCATCACCGGGGAGTGACAAGTTGACACTCTGTCCTCACTAGAGCAAGGAAAGTATTCCCATCGGAAAAAAAAAAAAAAGATTTTTTTTTTCCCCTCAGGTATGGTGGTGCACACTTTTAATCCCAGCATTTGGGAGGCAGAGTCTGGCAGATCTCTATGAGTTCAAGGCCAGCCTGGTCTATGGAGTCCGTTCCAGGACAGGCTCCAAAGCTACAGAGAACGTTTATCTTGAAAAAGAAAGAAGAAAGGACAGAAGGAAGAAAAAAGAAAGAAAAGAAAAAAGGAAGTAAGGGAGGAAGGAAAGAAGAAAGGAAGGAAGGAAGGAAGGAAGGAAAGGAAGGAAGGAAGGAAGGAAGGACAGAGGTGGATGGCCAATCGCTAACAATCCCTGCGTTCCTGGACCATGCATCGTGCAGATCTTTTTACAGAGATGGTCTTGCCTTGCAAAGGGAGGACCACAGAATCCTGTGGAATCTTTTCTGAGACAGGGTCTTTGACGTCCCAAGCTGGCCTTGAACTCACTGTATCAACAAAGATGACCTTGAACTCCCGATCTTCCTGTCTCTACCTCACCTCAGCAGTGCTGGTTTATACCAGGACTCCAGGCATTGTTTGCTCAGGACTCAGGAGTGGACCTAGGGCTCCACACAGGCTAGGCAAGCCTTCTACCATCGAGCTACAGCCTTGGCCCTTTTACACGTTTTCAGACAGTCTACCAAATTTCCTCTGAAAATGCAGTCTGAGTAGCTGAGATTACAGGGTTGGGAATTATCTTATCTGTTTTAAAAGCCTCAAGATGCAGTTTTAAGATGGGAATTGGGCCACTTCTGGTGACCGGAGATTGCCTATGATCCCAGTATCTGGGATGCAAAGACAGGAGGCTGACGTAAGTTTGAGGCCTGTCTAGTCCTGTCAAGGGCAACATAGTGAAGACAATAATGAACTGAGCGAGGTGGCCAGGGCCTGTAATTCTACCACTTAGGAGGAAGAAGGTGGGTCACATGTTCAAGGTACAGTGAGTCTGAGACCTCTCTGGACTACTAGGATAGTGTCTCCAAAAACAAAAGCAAGCAACAGAAAAAGGGAAATTAAGTTATTGGGAAAATGAGAAAAATCTAGCTGCCACTGAAGACTTACATAAACCGGAGAGATGGCTCAATGGAAAAGAGTCCTGGCTGTTCTTCCAGAGGACCTCAGCTCAGTTCCCAGCACCCACATGGCAGCTCACAACCATCTAACTCCAGGCCCAGATCTGATGCCGTGTTCTGACCTCTGCTGGTACTAAGCATGCATTTGGTGCAGACATACATGCTGGCGAGCCATGTATACACACCAAAAAAATTAAATTAATATTTACATGATTAGTATCCCTTTAAACTGATATTTCACCCCCCTTTGGATGCAGAAATATGAGGGGAAAATATATATGTGGAGTGGTGGAACATGGCACAATGTCCTTTCTTTGATTTAATCACCATATTTATTTAATAAGCATTTTTTCTTAATTTTTTTCTAAAGTTGTCTTTATTTTTTTAATGACCTTTAGGAGCTTGGAGAGATGGCTCAGGGGTTAAGAGCACTGGCTGCTTTTCCAGAGGTCCTGGGTTTGATTCCTTCCACCTGCAAGGCTGCTCACAGCCATCTGTAACTCCAGTTCCAGGGGAATCTAATGCCCTCTGCTGGCCTTAGAGGATACTGCATGTACCTGGTGCACAGATAGACAAGCAAAACAACCAAGCACATTAAGTAATAAAACATTTTTTTAAATGACCTTCGAGGAGCTGGAGAGATGACTGACAGCTAAGCGTGTTCTTCAGTTCCCAGCACCGACTTGAGGCAGCACAGCCGCTTGTAACTCCAGCTCCGAGGGCGCTGGCCTCAGGTCACACTCTCACACATAAACATACTTCATACAAACAAACCTTAAAGCTGAGCTTCAAAAGAAACGTTAAAAAAAATATACTGTGCTCACGAGAATGTTTTTAACCGAAACATTGCATCCTCTTTGTGGGAGGTTGGAAAACAAACTCCACACAGTTCTACCTATTGCATGGCCAACTGTGTTTTGTTATATAGACAGGGAGTTAGCAGGTGACCTTCGTCAGTACTAAAGCAGGGTCTTGGTTAGCATGTGACTTTTGTCAGTACTAAAGCACAGGTATCAGTGGTGTTCCTTATTGGCCTGGAACTTGGTAGTAGATCAGGCTAGCCTCCAACTCACAGAGAGCCCTTAGCCTGATGGCTTCCCTGCCTGTTTCACCGGAAGGTCACTCCAGTGCTAGCAGGGTGACCACAGAGGCATGTCCAGAGGAGCCCAGAAAGGACAGAGGACAAATCATGCTCCAGAAATGGACCCTGGGACTCCATGGGTTAGTTCTGAAACTTCATTCTCTCTCCCTGTGTGTTAAAAAAAAAAAAAAACTTTTAAAAGTGTTTTTAAAAAAGAAATCAGTAGACTCAGGGAAAACACCATGTCAGAAAACAAACAGTAAAAGTGATGGATGCCAGGAAACAGTCCTGCGGGCCACACCGCAGAGCTCCACACCAAGGGTTGGGGCCCCAGGACTTACGTTTAGTGGCTGGTGGTGAGCACTGACAGAACTGGAATATTTCAGAGGTGTTCTGTGTGCTGGAAAGGTACTGATGTCGAAATTCTTCAGGCTGTATTCATTCACAAATATCTACACACACATGTACTCAGTACTGCCTTAAGGAAATAGTAAGGTAGGGAAGGAGATAGATAGATAGATAGATAGATAGATAGATAGATAGATAGATAGATGAGGAAGATAGATAGGTAGATAGATGGATGGATAGATAGATAGATAATAATAATAATAATAATAATGATGATGATGGATAGATAGATAGATAGATAGATAGATAGATAGATAGATGAGGAAGGTAGATAGGTAGATAGATGGATGGATAGATAGAAGATAGATAGATAGATAGATAGATAGATAGATAGATAGATAGATAGATAGATGGTAGGTAGGTAGATAGATGAGGAAGATAGGTAGGTAGGTAGATAAATAGGTAGATAGATAGATAGATAGATAGATAGATAGATAGATAGATAGATAGATAGATGAGGAAGATAGACAGATAGGTAGGTAGGTAGGTAGGTAGATGATAGATAGATAGATAGATAGATAGATAGATAGATAGATAGATGTTAAAGTTCATTATCTGGTCACTGTAGTCTCCAGATGCTGTAACAAAATATTATAGGCATAAACCCTGGGTTTAGGTCTCAGCACTACAAAATAATAAATAAAATAATAATAATAATATAAAACCCCTAGGTGTTTTATATTATGTGGTGTGTGGTGTGAGTGTGTGCGTGCATGAGAGAGAGAGAGAGAGAGAGAGAGAGAGAGACTTAATTTTTGGCAATCTGAGCAATAAATACAAGGCCTTGTGTGTGCTAAGCACATCTGTACTGCTAACACCCAGGCCTTAAGATGTTTTTCTTCACTCAGGAGACAGTTCCATGGGGTCAGGACTGTCCCTTCGGTCTGGGCTTGGTAGAGGCAGTGTCCTGAGGACTTTTACCTTCACTGTTCTGTTAATTCCCACTTCCCCCATGTTGCAGTGCAAACATCACTACCATTTCTTTACAGATGAGAGAGCTGAGACTTGCAACCTTCTGCCATCTTCCACCACTGCAGACAGCAGACATTCTCCTTGCTGAGCACCCACCCCCGGCAATCTACATAGCAACTGATGCTGCTATGGCAAACTCTTTGATGTTTCTTTTAGACCAGCACCTTTACACTGTAATCAGTTATCGCTGGAATGTCTCTGCCTTAGGACAGTTGTGCCCAGCCTATGGAGGGTGAATATGGCCCAACATATTTGTAGCTAGCAATGTTGTTTCACAGTGTCTGAAGTTTGGACACCTCTAGCTGCTCTTATAGAATACCTGAGACTCGGTGATTTATAAAGAATAGAATTACTAACAACCTCCACAGGAGCAGGTACAAGGGAGCCATTGCTGAGGGAGCAGGCCCGAGCCAGAGACCTTTGCAGGACCGGGCATGAACCAGCGACCTCCGCTGGAGCAGGCCCAAGGCAGCAACCTCAGCAGAAACAGATCCAAGCAAGCAACCGCTGTGGGAGCAGGCCCCAATGATCCCCCAGTACTGCAGAGCAACCCCAGGGAGTGCTGAGAGACCTCTAGGAACACAGAGTGACCTCCAGGGTGACTGGAACCATGGCCCTGACTGCACCACGAGGAGCAACCATCTGAGCCTTGGATCCACTGGCACCTGGAAGATTGATCACCAGAGACAAAGACAGTCCCAATTACACCAATCAGAGGAAAAGATGGGTAGACAAGGTAAGAACACACTCAACACCACAAAGAGCAACACGACACCAATAAAAACTAGTAGCCCTACAACAGCAAGACTTGAACAATCAAATATAGATGAAGCAGAAGAAAATGACCTAAAAAAAAATCACTTTTGGAGACAACAGTTTCACTCTATGCCCCAGGCTAGTCTCAAACACAAAGTGATCCTCTGGCCTTCTGCCCTGCTTTCCAATATTCTAGTTGTATCATAACAAAAGAAATACGTTTTGTGTAAAAGACACAAAAGATGCAGACAATAGCATAAGTTATTTAAAAGTTTCCCTTTCCACCAGGATGGGTGGCGCTAGCCTGTAATCCCAGCATTTGGGAGGCTAAGGCATGAGGGTTATAGGTTCAAAGCCTGCTTGGGAAACTTTGAGTACAAGGCCAGCCTGGCCACGTTAGGGAGCCCTTGCCCAGATAAAAAGTGAAAACAGTATTAGGGTTACATCTTCCTGGCAGAGTGCTTGTGTGTGTGTGTGCATGCGCACACCCACACGCACGTGCGTACATGTTTCCCTTTAGAGGCTCACACATTTTTGGCAACAGGCTATAGTTTTTGCTGCAATAAGAACTTACCACCAAGGGCTCTGATTATCCCTACCCTCCACCCCCATTTCTTGTTTTTTCGAGATAGGATCTCAAAGTTCCAGGCTATTCTGGAACTCACCATGTAGATCAAGCTGGCCTCGAACTCACAGAGATCTGTCCACTTCTGCCTCAAGATTGCTAGGATCAAAGGTATGTGGCGCCACATTTGGCTTTTCTACCCTATTTTTTATTTCATTAAAGGTTGCTCATAAGAGGCCAGCAAGACAACTTTGAAGGGAAAGGCACCTGCTGCCAAGCCTGAAGCCCTGAGGAGCATCAACTCCCCAAGTTGCCCTCTGACCTTCGTACATAAGCTATAGCACGTGTGCGCCACATACATACAAACACGCACACAAAGTGAACTTTTTTAATCTATGATTTATTTATTTTACATGTATAAATCTTTTGCCTGCATGTATGTCTGTGCACTATGTGCATGTCTAGGGTCTGGAGGGATGAGACAAAGGAGTTGGATCTCCATGAGACTGGAGTTACAGGTGATTGTGAGCTGCCATGTGGGTGCCGGGAACCAAACCCAGGTTCTTTGCAGGAGCAGCCAGTGCTCTTAACCCTGAGACATCTCTCTAGCCCCACAAAGTGAACATTTTTAATGTTAAAAAAAAAACATGTTCATCTATTTGCTCCATGTGTGGCAGTGATTAAAATTAGAGAAGGCACAAAAACACAGCATCCCACTGCCCTCCTGTGCTCCATGTACAAAACACACACATTATTAGCCAGGGGAGAAACACTGGAAAAATCCAGCTCTGTATCTCACAATGATTCAAGATCTTGAGACCCCTTCAAGAGCTGCAGGCACAGCCAGGGCCACAGAGATGTTGCGGGAGCCACCATCTGCTACACAACCATCCTCACCCACTGAGAGCAGCGTCCTGAAGGTCTCCTGCATCACATCACGGTACAGCTTCCTCTGGGTAGCATCCAGCATCCCCAGCTCCTCCTCGCTGAAGACCACAGCCACATCCTTGAATGTCACTGCCTCCTACAACACCAAACACATGCCCCCTGAATCTTGCAACAAAGGGTAGCTGAGGCTGGGATGGAGCACGGGCATGGAGTACCTGCCTGGCATCCACAAAGCCCTGGGTCCCACCCGCAGCCCCACAGACACTGGGTGTGGGGTGCAGTGTCCCATGCCAGTACATGGAGCTGAGACAGGAGGATGACTTGTCAGTTGGAAGCCATACTGAGTTCCAGGACAGGATGGAACCCTGTCTCAAAAACATAAAACAAACAAAAAGACCACTTTTTATACGGAACTCAATTGTCCATTTTCTTAAGCATTAAAACTGCAACATTAACAAATATTCCATTTTAAAGTTACAGTGTATGAGGCCAACTTCCTTTTCAACTTTATTGGCTATCATATTCTTTCCCTCAAATGAATATAAAGACCCTTGGTTCTTCATGCCATAGACAACATTGAACCTATAACAAAAAACTGGGCTAACAAGAGGCAGCAAATTTGGGATTTGCTGCTAAGCCAGACATCCCAGGTTCAAGTCCTGGGAGCCGCGTGGTGGAAGGGAGAACTGACTCCAGCCAGTTGTCCTCTGAGCTCCACATGTGCTCAAAATCAGCGTTACTATATTTTCACGAGTTTACTAACCATGTTTATTTCTCTTTGTGTTTTTGGTGGTGGGGGGGTTGTTTGTTTGTTTGTTTGTTTGTTTTGAGACAGAGTGTCTCTGTATAGCCTTGGCTGTCCTGGAACTCACTCTGTAGGCCAGGCTGGCCTCGAACTCACTGAGATCCACCTGCCTCTGCCTCCCAAGTGCTGGGATTAAAGATGTGCACCACCAGGCCCCTCTCCTCTATGTATTTTATTATTTCTTCTGAGACAGGGTCTTATAGCTAAGGCTGGCCTCGAATTTGATATTGCCCAGGATGACCCTGCACTACTCTAGTCCTTCTGTCTCTATTTCCCGAGTGCTGGGATCGCCAGTGACACCATGACTGGTGTATGTGGTGCTGGGGATTGAACCTGGGGCTTCATGCATGCAAGGCAAGCACTCTACCCATGAGGCTAGGCCCCCAGCCCCATGTTCATTTCTCTTTGGCACTTTGCCTGTCCCTCTATTTTAACAAGTATATAACTTAAGGCCATATGTAAAATTCTATTGACCACGTTAAGCTTAGTGTTTGTTCTGCACTGATGGGGAGCAAAGCCAGGCACTGAACGAGCAGGGCAAGTGCTCTGCCAGGCTAATTTCTAGCCCGTATTGCCAGCCGTTAGCACCCATGTAGCAGATATTCTCCCTCTTATTCTTGTCTAGCTTTGTGTGTGATAGCAGAGTCACAACCTGAATGATGCTGTCGCGGGCTTTTCTAGTCTGCGATTGTTCATCCAATCATATTTACATTTTATCTTTATATTTTTAAAAACCATCTTTATTATTTGTACTTATGTGTATATGGGGTGTGTATGTGCTGTGTGAGTGCAGGTGTCCTCAGAGGTCAGAAGAGGGCATCGCACCTCAGGGAGCTGGAGTTACAGGCTGTTGTGAGCTACTTGATGGAGGTGTTGGGATCCAAACTTGTGTCCTCGGGAAGAGCAGCCATCTCTCCAGCCCTTGTTTTTATTGTTTTATTCATCCAATTATAAAGTGATAAAAAGGAAGTAGAAATTAAGTGTCACAGGGTGACTGACATCTGCCATCCCAGGGCTTCTCAAATGTCAGCAATTCTCCTTAATACTTCCTAAGAAGCAAGGAGATATGTGGAACTTTTGAGAAAAGAGATGAGAATTTAGGGGCTGGTGAGACAGCTCATGGGTCAAGATGCTTGCCACTAAGCCTGGGACACTGAGTTCCAGCCCCAGGATCTACACGGTAGAAGGAGAGAGCCAAAGTTGTCCTCTAACCTCCACATGCACACCACACTGTGGCAATGTACACCTGTATACAGCCACACCCACACAACACATAAACCAATAAACGTAAGAGAGAGAATTAAAAAAAACCAAAACAGTCAGTCCAGCTCACCTTGTACTTGGTCATTCTGTTCTCCCAGCGAACAGCTGCATCTTAGGAAGGTGCATTGATGGAAGAGAAAAGAGCCATCAACATCTGGCCAGGGTGCGACCAGCCAGCTCCCATGGCAGCATGCTGTGGATAGCAATCGTGCTCCCTCCTCAGGGAGGCTGATTCAGACAGCACTCGCCCCTGCAGCTGAGAACCCCTGGCCAGGAGTGACCTGCTTAGGAGAGAAACTGTTTGCTCCGAGCAGATACTCCCTTCCCGGGCTCTGAGTCAGTGGGGAATGGTGGTCAAGTCAGTGCTCTGGGAATCAGTGCACGGATGGCCAGCTTTTCAAATCATGCCATTTTGCAAACTCACTGAGCTAAGAGGAGAGCCATGGAAGACTTCACTATGGAAACAGAGACGACTGGATGAAGTCCCGCCTCTGGGAAATAATGTAGGCACATTTTTAGAATCAACGGAATTAAAATTAACAAACTACAGGAATCATATTTGCTGGGCAGAAACAAGAGCTTGGTGTGATGTCATACACCTGCAGTTCTGGTACTCAGGAGAGACTGAGGCAGGAAGATTGCTTTCAGTTCAAGTTGGCCTGGATTCCACAGTGAGACCCTATCCCAAAAGTCACTATAATATCTAGCATGCTATTGTTTGACACATCAGGGGCTATCCATGTAGCACATGCATGCTAGCACACTGCTCCAGAAGATTCCTCATGCTTACCTGTGATGAAACCGCTGTGTGACCTCGGTCCCAACACCTAACCTGCTGTGCGCATCTTCAGCTATAGAAGGGACAGAAACAGAAAGTGGTCCTACGGTTATGACGGGAAGTAAGTGAACACACGCGGCAGCACCTTGGGTGAGGCACCTGGTATTGTAGGGTGTTCTTACCAACAAAGATGACAGCTACTGCACCTATGAACACACAAGGTCAGAGGCAGGTGGGGTCCCCGATCCCAGCTTCATCCCGCAGCCAGCATTCCAAGCTTTGTCTCTCTGTTGCCTCTAATGACAAAAATACATGGACAGGAGTCACAGAGAGAGAATGAGAGCTGACAGTGACAGAAAGGGCAGAGGCAGATACAAGCGCAGAGAGAGGTCAGAGGTGAAGGAACTGCTCCAAGCCAACCTAAGCTGGCATCAGCGCTCTCATCTGAGGGCACCACGATGAGTCACCATCCCAACCAGCCTTCACCTTAACTATGGATGGACCAGGTGACACTAACTGTTCCAAGATAGGAACAATTGGCTATGATAGAGAAGGGACACTCCATAACAAATCGGGGGTGCCCTGAGGCAATGCCAGCCATTAACGATGTATGGATCCGCGTTTAGGGATCTGAGCCGAAACAAGGACAGAGAGATGCAGCAGGGCTGCTTAGTTATGTACACATTTGCCCTGAGGCTTCCTTATTTATTTATTTCATTACAGTTTTTTAGAGCAGCGGTTCTCAACCTGTGGGTCGCACACCAGACAGCCTATATATCAATTATTTATATTATGATTCAGAATAGTGACAAAATTATGTTACAAAGTAGTGACATAATAATTGCATGTTGGGGAAAACCACAACATGAGGAACTATACTAAAGGGTTGCACCATCAGGAAGGTGGAGGACCACGAATGTAGTGTGTGAAGGGCGCGTGTGTGGCCACCAGAAGACAACCTGCAGCAGGAGGTGACTCTGTCCTCCCACCATCTATATTCTGGGGGTTGAACACGGGTCGCAGGCTTGGCAGCAAGCACTTTTACCTGCTGCGCCATCTTGCAGGCCCCTGTTCCCCTACTTAAACCTAGAGTTCGGGTCAGTACCACAACGTCTGGACCCCTTCATCTGTAAGTCCCAATAACGGCCACTACAGTTCAGTCTCCTTTCTCTACTTTTTGCCACTACTTGTCTCTTTGGTCGGACTGGGACAGGCAACTGAGCCTAGCCAATTGGGTTTCCTAAGACTTTGGCTCTAAAACTCTGGTTACAATTCCAGGCAGTTCTATGCCTTGATCAGAATATATTCAGGAAGCTATGAACCTAGGCCATAGACCTGAGCTATACAAGTTCCAACCCAACCTCGAAGCCCTAATTTATCCTACCGACCTCAAGCCCTTCATCATTAAAATAAGAAAAATATGCCAGGTGTGGTTACATAATCTTCAGTATCATCACTTGGAAGGAGAGGTGGTTAACTCTCTGAGTTTGAGGCCAGCATGGCTGATATACAGAGTTCCAGGACAGCCAGGGCTACACAGAGAGACTCCTCAAAACAACAGAAGCCAGATCAACTCACCAGGAACTTTGCTGTCCATGCTGAAGGAATCATGACCTCACCTTCCACTCAATCCATGCTGAGAGGTCAGGCTGTGGAAAGGAAGAATATTGTGAAATACCATGGCAGTCATCCCCAACAAAGCAGTTAAACCGTCCCCTCCTGCCCACCAATCTGGAGACAATCTTCCTTCCCCCTTTCTAAAGAGTATAGGGAAGGTGTACAGGGTTAACCAGTATTGATGGAGACAAAAAGGAGGTCCGGGAGCACCCCCTGCAGCTGAAGGAGGTCCGGGAGCACTCCCTGAAGTGGAAGGAGGTCCGGGAACACGCCCTACAGCTGAAATTGCCCCCAGTGAGAGATCTGAAAGCTTAGAGAAATAAACACTCACAAGAAGAGCTCAGGATCACATGACATGAACAGTTCAAGGCTTTCATTTCTACACTAACAGAGAAGATTAAAAAGTTAAAGGGCCAGGCGGTGGTGGCACATGCCTTTAATCCTAGCATCCAGGAGGTAGAGGCAGGCAGATCTCCAAGTTTGAAGCCAGCCTGGTCTACTTAGCAAAATCCAGGACAACCAGAATTACATAGAGAGACCCTGCCTTAAAAAAAAAAAAGTTAAAGCAAGGGGAAACACTTGTGTTGACAGATGAGTGGGAAAAGGTGTTTGTCACCAAACTCGGTGACCTGAGTCCAATTCCTGGGAGTCTTCAGTGAATTGTTCTCTGACCTCCACATGCACAGTGCAGCATGTGAGAGTGCAGGCTCACACACCTGCATGTGCGTGTGTACACACACACACACACACACACAATCTCGTTGTACAAACAATGTGACTTCAGGGAACCTCTCTGAATGCTGAAACATCTTTAACCCTCTCATCAGTCACTCCGTAACCTGTGCACAAGTGTATGTATAAGTGTGTGCAGAGTAATGCATGGTCTGAGATTTATTATTAGTTATTAAGATGGGAATAAAAGAACCCGTGATTAATGGTTTAACTACCAAATGAAATCAAGATTCCCTGGAAGGTGGCAGCCAACGAAACTGATAATAGCTGTGACCTTCTCTTCGTCCAATAAAATGACATCGTGAAAAACCACAGACGTGTCCGTCTATGAGTCTATGACAACTCGCGAAGTACCTCCTCCACCTATCCCGGTTCCCTACATTTATGGGTGTGAGTCATAGAACCTTCAAGGCCCGGTGACACTAGCTGCATCAATCCCCCAAACAACCCTGTCAGCATGGCCCTCGCTCCCCAACTCCAGGCGACAGCAGTGAAGCAAGGTGTGACGGCTCACACCTGTCGTCGCAGTACTGGGGAGGCTGAGGCAGGAGAATGACCCGGTCACACGCAGAGACCCTGTCAGTGCAATGATCTCTGCGGGATGGAGTGGGGCTCACTGGCGGCTCACTGCACTCCGGCCAGCCAACCTGGAGCCGACTCCCCTACGGCCGCCCACCTCCGACCCCGCAAACCTCCAGATCTAGGGCTCAGTCGAGGAAGGTGCGGGAGAGAGGAGACTCACGGGAGGCGTGCGGAGCAGGTGCTAACTGAAACCACCGGGAGACACTTCCCAGAATACTACGCATAGGCCCCGGCTCAGCCATAGCTCAGGCGACAGGCAGAGAATTTAAACTACAATTCCCAGAATGCAGAATCGCGCCCAGTGTCGGAGAATCCGGACTACAATTCCCAGAAGCAACCGCGTCAGCGCGCCCACTTACAAGCGGGCCAGACACTGTGGAATTGTAGAGGTGAGGAAACCCGATCGTGGACTCGCTTTATCGAGTGTAGCTACTCTGTGCTTTGTGTGCGTGCCACACAACTATTCCCCTACTCCTCCCCGGAAATTCTTATTTGATCTGCGAGACACTGGTCCGCACTATGCAACCCGGACTGAACTCAACAGTAATCCTCCCGCCTCAGCCTTCCCCACTCTCAAGTGCTGGGGGCGTGTGCCACGACGCCAGGCTGCCTCTGAAGTTGTCGCTTCCCACAGGACCCTAGAGGAAAAGTTAAGAGTCCTCACCTCACAGGCACTAATTTGTCCCTAGCGTTCCCTTATATACCTGAGTCTTAAAGGTAAATAGTCCCCAAACAGCACGCCTGACAGTTGGATGCGGGAAAGAAGGAGGAAAGCAAACCACTGCGGAGATAAGAATCTTCAAGGAATTACCGGGGAATCCGATGAAGACTTGTGCAATGTGACACTGTGATACTAAAACGGATAAAGCAGGACAGAATGTCTTTAAATACAGTCCTAATGTACACTTCCTGCACGTACGGAAGAGTATTTTTTTATTTTGAAGAGTTCTTATAGTGTTTGTTTTTTTTCAATTGTCCAGATTAGCAGGACATTATGCCACTGGTCTACATATCGAGTTCCAGGCCAGCCCAGGCTACATAGTGAGACCCTGACTCTAAGAAAAGACAATCCTATTTTAAAGTCACTAGCTCTATCTAGCCAATTTTGTAAGCATGGTCCTTCTCAAATATCAGAAAAGTTCTTATTTTTAGAAAAACTAAAGTTGTGGTAAGCCAGAACCATGGGTGACATAAGGATTTGACCAACACCACACCTCCTAGATATCTGGACGGATCCACCCACCACCTCACAGACGCGCCCACCCCACCATCTCTTAACCTCCTGCCATGCTGCCTCTTCCAAAACACGGGCACACTGGTAATTCAAACTCTCCGTCTCCCTCTCCCCTCTGATAAACGATTGCTTTGCGGTTTATTATCAGGCAAGATCCGTGCACAAATATTAAAGGACAAATGGGGACCCAGAACCGAGTCACAAGCCACTGCTTACACCTGCCGCTGCTCGCTCAGTCCTCTAAAGGGTCACCTTCCCCTTGGTCGCATCCATCCCCAATGAAAACCCTGTCTCTTGGACGAAAAATGCTCCTTTCAGTTAACTAGTTGACCGGTGACAGATTTCCCGTAACACCCCTCCCCTTTCCCTCCTCCTGCCGCCCCCCATCTTCTGATTATCAATCCACAAGATGAACTTTTGTTTTAAATTATCCCCAAGGACCACTGTCAAAAGTGCTTGTTTTTTTTTTTAATTCAAATCAAATCTTGGAGTATGTGTGTGGTTCACTGGAGATGCTGTAACAGGCACACAGAGCAGCAAGGGAAAAAGAGTAGTTTTCACATGATATGATTATCCACAGAGAAAATCCCAAGAAACCCATAGAATAGTTGTGGCAAACAAGCCCAAAATAAAACAGTCCACTGGAGTTCGACATCCGAGCAGCAAACAACTGGAAATGAAGTTAGAAAACTTGAATCATTTAATTTAGCACAAAAATGTGGGATGCTTATGTATAAATTGAATAAAATATGTACAGAATCTCTATGCTGAAAACTATTGAAGGAAACCCAGAGTCCTGGGCAAATCATACTGTATTGATTGCTGCAACAGTCAATATTGTTAAGGTGTTAACTGTCCAGAAATTAATTATATATCCAGTACAGTCCCAAACAAAACCAGAGCTTGCATTTAAAAATCACAAAGCTGATTCTAAATGTTACTGAGAAGCAAATTGAAAAGGGGGATGAGAAGAGCCAGAGACAAAAGCAGGGACAAGCCCTGGATCTGAGAAGATGGCTGAGCTGCCCACGGCGTCACCAAGGAAACCCAAGGTGTGCTGGTAGAACCAATTCCTGGCCTTAAAGCAGAACCAGACGAGAGCAAGTCTGTTCCTTTCTTGTAGTCATTGCTGGGCCCAGGATTCCCCTCTGAGAGACGGACTTTTAAACTGGAACTATCAGTACCTAAGGTGCATTTCATGACCAATATTTGTCATCCTACGGTAGACAAGATGGAAAGAATACGTTTAGATATTTTGAAAGGTAAGTGGTGCCTGGTGTTGCAGATCCACACAGCTCTGCTATCAATCCAGGCTTTGTTTAGTGCCCCCATTAGCAAATGATGTATGTTGTGGAATAGAATATTTGTCTAACTAAGTAAAGTTGTGTTGTATTTGTTTATGTAAAGATGCGTTGCTGTTTCACCTTGCCTGCCTAGGGTACCTGGATGGTCTAATAAAAAGATGAATGGCCAATAACTAAGCAGTAGAGGGATAGACAGGGCTGGAAGGCAGAGAGAATAAGTAGGAGGAGAAATCTAGGCTTGAGAGAAAATGAAGGAGGAAGAGAGGGAGACACCAGCCAGCCAGACACAGAGGAAGCAGGAAAGTAGGGCATACAGAATGAAAAAGGGTAAAAAGCCCTGAGGCAAAATATAGATGAAGAGAAACAAATTAATATGCTATAAGAGCTAGTGGGACAAACCTAAACTAAGGGCAAGCGTTCATAATTAATAATAAGTCTCTTTGTCTTAATTTGGGAGCCAGCAGACCAAGAAAGCCTGCTACATTTGGCACCCAACATAGGGCACATATTTCTATGTAGGGCCTAAGAATGATGCGGGGGGGGGGGGATGAAAAGAAAAATCAAACAAAAAATGACATGGCTTCCTGGTAGCCTGGTGCTCGTAGTGTACAGAGGTGCAGCTCTGCCCTAGAGTGAGCATTTGATCACTTGGCATGTTAAATAGAAACAATAAGTTAAGTAAAAATGCCTGCCATAGTGCAGGCACCAACTTTCTGGAGCTGGGGTTGTTAAATGCACCTCCTGGTTAAACACAGCTCCCTGTTAAATGCAGCTCTTGCCCAGGCCAATCAGACATAACGCTTGGTTCTCACAGGCCTCAGCAAGGCAGAGATAGCTGCCAGTACAGAGCCACTCAGCAGGTTAAGGTCTGGCTCACACAGTCAGAAAAGGCTGCAGGCACATGGTAAAGCAGGTCCAGACTGAAAAGAAACTCTAAACTGGCAACAGTGTGTTTTTAAAATGTGTGTAGATGCTTAAGAAAGAAAAGGAGTATAGATAGTCATAGAAATAATATTTTATAATAATAAATAGAAAAAATAAATAGTTTAAAATAAAGTAAAATAATGTAAAGGAAAAAAGCCACAGAAAGATGGGAAATACACAAGCAGTGTGGATCCTGTATGATGTTGTGTTGACTTTGGATTTTATTTTATTTTACTGGTTTTTCAAGACAGGGTTTCTTTGCCCACATTCCCAAGAGGTATGGTGGGTGGGTTTTGTCATTCAGTGAGTTATGAATGTTTGTCATTGTTTATGGGGGGATACAGGATAAAAAGACAACTATTAACCTCAAATATTTTACATTGGTATGGATTTTGGTATATTGATACAGATTTAAAGTTATTTTTGTTATACTATGCATATGTCTCCACTCTTGTTTGGGGGTATTGTGCTTATGCAGCTCATTTAAAAATGTAATGTATAATTAAGAAGTACAGATTAATAATTAGTCATCTATAATAATCAAATCTGTAGTTATGTTAGTCGTGTATTCATAGTTAAACAGGTAAATTTTAGATAGATAGATGATCTTCAAACACTTCAGAGACCTACAGAATAAGGCACTTAAGATGTTTCAATAACCTAAGGCTTTTCATGACATTGAGATATGCCTGCTCCAGGCAACACCAATCTATTTCATAAAAGGATGATAAAGAATGACAGGTGTAACATGCAGGACCAGCTTGTTGGGGTTTATGTCCTGCCCAGTTCCCCACAGCCGGCAAGCCCCAAAGAAAATCACACAGAGATGGCCATAAGTTATAAAATTGATTGGCCCACTAGCTCAGGCTACTTATTAGCTCTTGTAGCTTATATTAACCCATAATTCTTATCTATGTTAGCCACATGGCTCACTACCTTTTCCAGCAGGGCAGGTCACATCCTGCTTCTTCCGTGTCTGGACAGGAGTGGGGGGAATGGGCTTCCTTCTTCCCAGAATTCTCCTGTTCTCATTGCCCTGCCTCTACTTCCTGTCTGGTTGACTCACCTATACTTCCTGCCTAGCCAATCAGTGTTTATTTAAAACATGATTGACAGAATACAGACAATTCTCCCGCATCAGACAGGCATTGAAGAACCTCCACATAGAGTTTGCTTTCAATGTGGCAAAGCTAGCCAATTGAGCAGGAAATTGCCCTTGCCTCAACTGCTGACAGTATACCATCTAAACTGGACATGCAGAAAACAAAGGAAAGTAACTACCAGACTTTCCCAAGACAAGGTAGGGAAATCCTTCAAAATTCCTACTTCACAGAAAAGTCTGTCAGATATTCTAGACCTGTCAGCCAAAGATAGATGCCCCAATGTTGCTGAGGGACTTTGGATGACTATCCAAACAGCCAGATGTCTCTATCATTTCTATAGTTTTGGAAGTGGCTTGCACTACACTTCCTGTTTGCTTAGGTAATATTATATACTTCAGGGGTTGTTGATGCAGTTGAAGACTAGATATAGTTACAGTTTTTCTTAGTTATAATAGAAGTAAATTAGGTACAAAACTTTGGACTCACCAAGATAAGATAAATAATGGATCATTTTCTCTGAATTTGCCAAATGCAAATGGACTGGATATAGGGGGAAAGAGCCAGCCAAAGAAACACACCCTGCCTCTGAAACTAGAATCAGTGAAAGCAACACTCTGACCCTGAAACCAGAGTCAAAGAAACACTCTGCCCCTGACCAACTGAGCACAAAACCAACCAATCCCTTC